TGGGGAGGGGGGGGTCGATGAAAAGATTTTTCCAGGGAGAAATTATGACATTTTTAAAGTATTTACTTTCTTCTGATTAAGCATTACTTTATCTGTTTGCTTAATTAAGGCACATGGCAATGTTGTCCGCCTCTCCTTCCTTTCTTAGGCTTCATTAATTAACTATCATTGCTTTGAATTTTCTTTTTGTAAGGATTTGTATTCACATGCTATGGACCAATAATTGCAAACGTGTAATTGCACATTAGCGTGGAATCTTATAGCGTGGGTTAATTAATAGCTCAATAATTCTTTCCACTGTGCTAAGTTATTTTAAAGGCAGGATCTTCTTCTTCACAAAAATATAATATGGATGGAGAGCTAAGAAAATCCCCCTCTGCGAACATATTTATACATATATTATTATGTGTGTGTGTATGTGTGTGTTGCGCACGATAAAGATCCCTTGATTTTTGAAAATCATAGAAGAGCGTCTTCTGGGCAAAATTCGAAGAGGAAAATTCCTAGCATAAAAATACTAATATCACCAGCAAAATAATAAGTCACACACTCACACCCTGTCTGACTCCAAACGTATTCACACTGTCTCTCCTTTAAAGCCTATCAAGGAAAACAAGATCGGAAGGAAGAAAGTAGTACTTGGGCAATCCACTTTCTCTATAGCTTCTGTCCAGGCAAAGACTGTTTTAACTTCTATTTTATTTGTGTAAGTGATTTTTATTCTCCCGTCGAAAAAACGTAGATCATACAGGAGGCGGGCTTTCCACTATGCCTGCCTGGGCCAACCTGGGATGAGAGGGCTACAACACCCCGACAGAAAGACAGAGATACTCGATAAAAACTCTCCCGTTTCCACAATCGAACTCGTGTCTCCTGCGTTCGACAGTGAAGGGCCTAACTGCTATACCACAGACGCGCGTGTTGTCGTTAGATTCACTGCCATAACGCAAAAGACCATATTAGATGTAGTATGTGTATGTATGTGTGTGTATGTGTGTGGGGGGGTGCGTGCGTGCATGCGTGGGCGCGTGTGTGTGTGCATTAGAGCTGTGCCCATTCGACATTCATGATTTTTGCACTATTCACAGCTTTTCGAAGCTTGGCAGGCTGTATTCTTGTCTTTTTTCCCATATTTAAATGTTCCGGGAAGGCATGGCTAACAACGACTCCAGCAGCAGACACGTTCTTCAAACGACCAACAATTTTCTGCCCTTTGAATTATTCGTCTCGACACAAAATACTCATCAAACAAGAGAACCGAAGGCAAACCTCAGGTGCCAATCAACTGTGGCAGTATTCTGAAGCAACTGTCCACAAAAGTGTCTTTTGTCTCACAATCCTCACCATTTATACCAGGTCCCCAATGCGGATAGGACCGGGTCATGTCCGGTCGATTCC